TTAAATTAAAAGTCTGAAAAGTTTGTCAGTTCTGAGTTGTAACTAATAAGAGATAATGAAAAAGATATTAGAAAGATGAATATTAGGATTTAAATAAACTTTACAAGAATAATAGCAGTTTAATAAATAATTATAACTGCAAGTGTTGGTTTTGACTATAGCATCAAACCAGATTAGCAGTAAAAAAAAAATATGACTCACTCTAATAGATTTATCTCAAGAATAAAAATATTCTAAGGATTGTAGTCCTAAAAATCAATGACAAAAAGATCTGAGTCTGTAACCTGATGAAGTTAGTACTAGAATCAGGTTAGAAGGTTTAAATGAAACATCTAAACAGAATATTAGGTACAGCAACTGGTAAAGAACCTTCAGATGGACTCCTTAAATAGGTAATATAGAAACATTACACATGTAACCAGTTGTACACTCATCTGATAATTCAATATAGATATGTCTATATGTACATGTGTCCAATATAAGTATTAATAAAAAGTCAAGACCAAAAGAGGTCACCTTAATACCAAAAAATATATATATGTAAAATTGGATGTTTTTTCAGTAATGTCAGAATAAGATACAAGTTAGTGTTAATTTTTCAGTTAAAATTTACTGTGCGGATTCTCACAATTTGGAAATTTATCTGTGCAGCAAATAAAGAAAACCTACAGGCAACTGTTTGCAACTGTGCGCACTATTTACTTTTTTCCGTGCAAAATTTTTATTCTGTGTGCTGCGCACAGTCCGCACAGTGAAAAATAATCATTGGTACAAGCTATAGATATAGAATGTTAAAATTTTTTTATTAAAAAAATTTTTTTTAATAGCGAATCGATTTACTTAATACAAGTATTATAAATTTAATAATAGATCCATATGATCTTCATCAAATTAAACTTGACCTATGCTTGCATGACCAAGAAATGCTTAAATGGGTTTAATCTCTAATTCAAACACTAACATGTATATCTTTCATTAAGAACGTTTAGCTTTATCTGTTTACTCGGCCGAAATGATCAATTTAGCCGAAAAACCTCATGTATTATAATCAAAGATTCAAAGCCTTGACATCTGTGATGTCTTAATTATATATGGGCTGCCGTCAATAGAAATCAGGCAGATTGACATTTTAAAAAAATCAATACCTAATTATTTAATATTCGAAAGAAAGCTTGAGGTCTAAGCTTTCTTTTGGCTATTGAACAATTAAATTGGCTTCAAAATTCATCGAGACATGAGCTGTGAAATTTAAGGTATTGACTTTTTTTTTTTAAATATCAATCTGCCTAATTTCTATTGACGGCAACCAATATTACTCACGGGATTTATGACGCAGTTTTATCTTTATTTTCGGAAATGACACTTTTCGCCCACAACAATACAATCTAAAGCTTAAAGAAAATGACACATCATACAAGAGCATGGATAAATGAATAAAAAGATTTTTACCTAAACTACAGTTTATACAATTTATGTATTCAATGAAATAAAAACATCTTTTACTAATGATAAAAAATTTATGTTGCAATTTTTGTGAAATACAAGTTTTTAAGATTACCTAAGCAGTTTATACAATTTATGTATTCCCCAACATGCTAAATTTATTAGTCGCACCTTTCAAAGACATATATCAATTTAAAAACTTTTATAAAATATCTCATTAAGAAAATGTTCTCTTGCAATAGAAAGAAGCCAAACTGCTCTTGGAAATCAATAATAACGATCAGATTTTGTAATATTTGGATAACTTTTGGCGCGGCACATCACCCGAAATTATTAACCAATAAACATGAAATTTCAAATCACAAATAAACTTGATTATCTCAAATTCATATTTTTTAGACTCTTTTTACTACCAAGATCCCACATTTTATGCAGTTTTTTTGATTGTATCTTTTAGCTAATAATTATCATACGACAGGGTGAAACCTGAGTTGCGAAATAGTGAAATCCGCTTTTATATAATAAAAACCATAATAAAACGCGAATTTCACCCTAACCTGATCTACAAAGCGGATTTCACTATTTCGCAACTCAGGTTTCATCCTGTCGTATTATAATGATCTCATTTAATTAGTGTTTCATTGATAATTTTGGCGGTTATGCAGGAGGATTAAGTGTAACGATTAGATATAAATGGGTTTCTTTTTTTTTGAAGTAAATCAAGTTATACATGAGTGACGGTCAGGGAAAATCTGTAAATCAGCTTTCTGAATATTTACTTTTAATAAAAGTATCTTGAAAAATAAAGTAATTGAATACTTATGATTTTAATGTTATTCACTAATGCGATTCAATGATATTAAAAACAATAATTGCTAGTTACATGATTTTAAAATATTTTTTATTAAAAGTAAATATTCAAAAAGTATGATTTACAGTTTTTCCTTGACCATCACTCATAGGTGCTGATAAAATAATTTTCATTATCAGTTATTGTATGCTTTCGATTATGCATTATACAATGCCTTACTGATTAGCATTTAGGTGATTACTTATATAACGATAGATCAATACAAAAAAAAGTTTAGAACAAAAATTAGTAACTGAAATTGTCATTATTTCGCAAGAACTTAATGATTCAACTTTAGGTTTGTCATATGATATGCATGGAGGATTTCTATTGATTGATATATTAAAAAATAAAAATGTTGAATTTTCGTTCTGCTGACATGCCGGGATATTGGATATGTAAACCGATTATATAAGTTTGTATGGCCTTACTCGGCAAAAGATTATTTTCAAATACAACTGCATTACAGCAAAATATATATTGCTAAATTTTAAGTTAAGTAAAACAATGTTTATAAAAAAATTTTCAATATTTTAGAATTGTATTAAAATAAGTATTTTTTTAAGTTCAAAAATTATAGCTATAGTAAATACCTTATATTAAATATATTTAATATATATATTTATTAAATTCTTGAATAAAAAAAAATTATATTTACAAGTTTTTTATAAAACACGATTTGTACCTAATTTTTGCGGTCTAGCTACAATTCTGTTAAAATAGGTTTTTATTTTTCATATAAGATTCGTCAGTATATCAATCAAAATTTGTTATATACAAATTAGCAAATCATAGTTGACTACATAATTCTCAAATTCGGCATTTTTGGAATAATGTTGAATTTTTTTTGTTGCACAAACAATAAAATAGAATTGCGAAAATTTGATTTTAAACCCGGTTTATCTGAATTTTACAACCGAATTAGATTATTATAAAACCGACTTAATATTAAAATTGATTTAACCGAACTTAAAGTCGAATTATAATAACCGGTACCAACTTCCAAATTCAAATGCGTAAAACAACGTGCATTCCTAAAAAACCCTGACAAAACATGGGCTTGTAGATCATTTTTATAATAAAACAGTAAATATTGAAATTTTTACGCTATAAGAAAGGTTAAAAATTTTAATATCGAATGAATTTTTAATTTATATTATTACAACCCTCATCGAGTATAGTTTCAGTAAAATGCTTTCTTAAATTTTTTTAAAAATGTTAGTCTGATCGAGAAGTAAACTTTTTTAAATGTTTATAACTTTTAATTATAAAAATTTGAAAAGGTTTATTTCTCGATAAAACTGATGTTTTTAAAAAATTTTTAAAAATTTAAGAAAGCATTTTACTGAAACTATAATTGATGAGGGTTATATTAATATAAATTAAAATTTTGTTCGATATTAAAAATTTTAACCTTTCTTATAGCTAAAAATTTCAATATTTTATCTTGATTTTAACAGCTTATATCTCGATGAATTTTAAAGTTATTTTACTAATTTAATATTCAAAAGAACACTTTAAGCATAATTTTAAAAATATAAATTGTTAATGTTAATGTACGTACTAAGTTTTTTTAGGATGCCAATCTGCTTGTTTTCTATTGAACTCAGCCATAATATGATCCAATCATTGAAAGCTTCTAAAATAACAAGTTAGTCACTTTACAAAAAAAAAAAAAAACACATTAACCAATAATGGGGTTTATATCAAAAGAAACATTTAGTAAGTGATTAGTTTACACTGTTTCGAAATTATCACCACTAATAACCTTGAGCGATCCTCACTATGTTGAGGCTACTAAACAATATGAATGCGATTTACAATAGTTTTGAGTGGGTTCATACGCTTTTTAACAATGATTCTTTATTATCTGTGCAATGATTTTATTACCACATGGAGAACCTGCATCATTGCTTGTATTTATAAATAGTTATGCTACCTAAATACTTCATATAATTAAAAAAAACTCGACATAACCAAAAGACTTTTTAACCGATTCTAAACGATTGCACCTATTCATAATATTCATTGCATGCGAGCGATCGGTTGTGTGCGCCGAATGCGAATGCATACCCAGAAAGTTATGGTATGACGTCAATCCGTTGCTCCTCGTTTGGTCTCGCCTTCTGTTTTTTGCTGCATGATTTATGATCGCCACTGTATATGCGTATATAAATATAATAAATTAAAGAATATAAAGAATAAATAATATTACCACGCACACATGTGCGTATGTACATACGCACGTACGTACGTAATATACTGCATATACCGTATATAACGATAATCAGAATATGCACGAAATATAATTAGCATTTATTATTTTATTTTGTACGACTGGTGATATCCAACGAAACTAATGAAAAAATATCAATTCGGTGGTCTTTACTTTGGAGACTCAGTTGATTCGTTGTAACATTCCTTCAAATAAAAAGTTTGTTACGCAGCAATCAGAGTTAATTTCATCCCTCTTCTCAACCAAGAAATAATATTTCTCATTCCTTTACCATTATTTAAAATATATTCTACCTATAGCATTTATTATAAATGCCATAACAAAAGAAGCGGGCTTTTCATGCTATTGTAGGGAAAAGTATAAGCCCCTTATTTTGTAAGCTGATAACGCGCTTGAAGTTTCGAGTGCAAGCCTACTTTCCTGTCATTCAATTATTTTCACAAATACCGATAATAATAACACTAGCAAAAAATGAAAGCACCTTTGCTGATGATAACATTATTAATAATTATATTCTCTTCATTCCTTTACGCATCACCCACATCACCCACAAATTCTAATAGTGAACCAGCACAATGCTATGATTATCCAAACCCTTTAAATAGAAATTACAAAGTACCCGTACAATGTAAAGTGTCAAAACAAAAAATACAAACATCGAATTTGGCGTCGAAAGGCTCAAAGAAGAACATGTTTGATGTTACTTTTACATGTGGAGTAAAAAATACAATACTATGTAATAAAGTAAAAAAGACGTTTGAAACAGCAGGAAATATAATATCATCTACCTTTATATTAAATTCACCCATAACTATAAATGCTAGTTTCGTCGATTTTTGTGTTGTTTTGGGCGATTGCGGTGGTAAAACAGGGCTTGTAACTTTAGGTAAGTTCACAATATAAATTATAACCAAATACATATACATTCATTCACCTTTATAACAAATTACAGGCGGAGCATCACCAGCACGTACAATACCACTGCAAGATGATGATGGATTAGTACGACTATATCCGCAAGCACTTGTTAAACAATTTCAATTTAACACACACCCAGAGTATGGGCCTTATGATATTTCAGCCATGTTTAATTCAGCTGAAAAAAATTTTTGGTTTGATGGAGACGGGAAAATAAAACAAGATCAACAAGACTTTTTATATGTAGTTTTACATGAATTGATTCATGGGTTAGGTTTTGCATCTAATTGGGGAGATTATATAGTTGAGGACACCCCAACAACAATAACACCAGATTTTTCTTTATTACAAGAGATTGGTTCAAAGCTTATTATATTTAATGGATTTATGGAAAGCGCATTTGATAAATATCTAATACAAATACCAAGTGGACGTAGAACTTCAGAGATCACAGATCAACTTAATGAATTCCCGGGAGGAACTAATGTAAAGTTTTCCAGTACAGAAGATTTTGAAGCAAAGTTCAAGGCATCACCACAATATAAATTGGGACTTAATATGATGAAAACAATAACTACACCGTCTTCATTGGGGTTCTTGCCGCACAATAGCACCGACCCAGAGCAAGCGATTATTCTTGAAACAAGTTTGAATCCTTATCAGCAAGGTTCAAGTATTAGTCATGTGGATTTTAATACGTATAATGCTACAAGTGACTTTTTAATGAAATATTTGGCTGACCGTGGAGTGAACATGCATACTATTACAATGTCTCGAGGATGCACGGATGCTATCGGTCCTAAGCTAAAATTAATTCTTGAAACTATGGGGTATGTATAAATTGAAATAGAATTTCCTTTTTTCTTTAGTCCATCATTGACTTCAATAACTTTATTCCAGATATGCAACTTCAAATAATCCAAATCCTTATAAACCAAGTGTCACTATAGTGTCAAATAATCTTAACCCGAATATTAAAGGAAGCGTTGCGTCTGTATTACCTAAACCGAATTCATCTCCAAAAATGATAAACTTTGATTTTGAAACTCATATAGTCCTTAATTTAATTGGTTTTATAACTGTACGATATCTTTTGAAATAATTAGATATAAATAGAATAGCGTTAGACTTTGTGCATATATAGTATGAGAACACGTGAAGCTCTTAAAAAAGAGAGGATATATATATATATATACATACATCATGTACAATATAATTTAATATTATAAAAACATTTGTATTAGTCACTTGCCAATTCACCAACGGAAATGCCTGATTTAGTACACAGTCACGCAAATAAATTCCTTTTTGTCGTTCTTTCATAACAATCAAAGAACACCTAATGTAGAAATGTATTATTTCTTTAATGATTACGTACCTATTGGTCACTAATTCATATAATTGTAAGCAATACGGCAATATAGATATGGGGTAGTAAAGCATAACCGTGAATAGTACAAAAAGTTCGGGTTTTTAATTATACGACTTTTATTGGTTGTCTAATTTATTACGTTTTTGTGTTTAGAATTTAATTAAATGAATAAATGCGTTTGCCTTTTCTGAATCAATTCTATATTAATATGTCACGCTACATTACAAATCAGGTAAAGTATTGTTATCCTATTCGTTTACTTCTAATTAAACTTATTCAAATGCCGATCCTTTTTTGTATGAATCACATCCAGATCTCCATTTCGGTCCCTACGTTATCTCCAGTACTAATCGTAGTCGGCGGCCGGTCTACGGGCACGTACCAGATCATATGACTTGCGCCTACCCTAACTACCGGTTTTAATGATTCGGGTTTATCACATAAATTTTGTGATATTTTAGAAATTTATCCAATTAAATTTTAATAAAATTCTAAAATATCAAAAATTTATGTGACAAACCCGAATTATTAAAACCGGTTCCAACCTTAAGTACGTGCCCGTAGACCGGCCGCTCAGTCAGAAATGCATGAGGTACGTGACCAATTAGTGAATTGGTGTACGTCAGGACCAATCAGTATGCAAGATCCAGTATAACGTCTGTAACTTCCCAATGAACATGTTTGTTCTGTTTGTTGATTGTCTACTTTTCTGAAACTTTCCAGCGGCTCAGGTTGGCCAAATTTATATTGCCTAGCCCAAATTATACTTTTAATTTTGCCCAAAGTGTGTACCGTTACACTGTATTAAAAATCGCAAAAATATTATTGATCTATATCGATATATAATAGTTATATTGACTTAGTCAAGTCGATAAATCATGATCGACTAATAGTTATGTCCTGCACGAACCTAGCATAACCACCACGATCAGTCACGAACCTAGCATAACCACCACGATCAGTTACGTACGGAGTTGGAATTAATTACCTACCGAAATTTTAATGATGCAATGTATCGATCATTGTTAATAATGTTAATAATGACGATGTTTGTTTATATTGTAACTTAATAATAAGTTTCGTTTAAAAATTTTTTTACCAAATATTTCACAAAATCTAATCAATGGAATCTGATTATTCAATCCAATCGAATTCAAAAAAATGTTCGTCCTGCCGAATAATAAAACGAATTAATGAATTTGAAACCAATAAAGAAACATGTATCGAATGCTTATCCCGGATAAATAAAAGCCAAAAACGGAAACGTCAAGAGCAGAATGTGAATAACATTCTTGAAAAGCAAGAAAATGCTATTGAACTTGAAGATATCGAAGATTTAGTTTATAAAAATCTTATGGATAATGTGGAAGAAGAGAATGCACGAATGGATCTTAATACAATTATAAATCTTTCAAATCGAATTGATAAATTAGAAAATATTGATGAATCACATG